TATGGTAACCCTATAGAAAACTTTTGTACTCTGTAAAGTAATTAGGCTGAACGTCGCCTAGTGGGGAGGGTGGGGCGTGACAGGCTGCAATTCGAAAGGTCCATGGGTCGAGTAATGTTTCGTGCTTTCAGTTGTGGGCGCGTTATAAGAATGACAATCAATACCATTATTCGGTTCCAAGAGCCAATAAAAAAAAATGTGTCTTTCAAGTTCAAGTTGAAATTTTTAGACGTCGTGATGTAGGAAAAAAAGTTTCATTGTAGCGGTACAATCAACTTTTGTATTTCTTTAGTAGAATTTTCAATAATTTAGTTACATTTTCTTTGATATGTTACACATGTTCTTATTATGTATATCACTGACATACTAACAAGGTATGTATCATTTCAATTGTCTTGGTAAATATCTATGGCCCCCAGTAGCACAGCGGTATGTCTGCGGACTTACAACGCTAGAAACCGGGTTTCGATACCCGTGGTGGGCAGAGCACAAATAGCTCTTTGCGCTTAACTACAAACAAACCAAAATATCTATGTTATGTTTAAGTAGCTTTTACACACTATATTTTTTGAAAAAAAAAGGCTTTAGTGTAATGTGTGAATACCAATACGTATGAAATGTTCTACATTAAAAGTTTTTTCTCACTAAAAACATAATATAGAACGGTCATTCGTAACGCGAAAGTGATAAACTTAAATATTAAACTATTATAGAAATGATAATTTTAGTAAGGTTATCAGTTGCATAAATGGCAAAAAATTAGTCTTTAGTAAGTAACAGGAAACGTTACTAAAAGTAACAACAAAAAAGGAGTAGCGACGCACATCTCAAGAACGATTTTGGAATTGGGAGTGTCGAATCTGAGTAACATAAAATCTACATACAATGTATATATAAAATGACTTCAAATACTTGAGTGTGGCATCATTTCCAGCTTCTCTGTCAATTCTACGCATATAGTAGAAACACGAAGGGAAATTTTTTTTACACCCGTAACAATGTGGTCTGAGGTCACTACATGAATTAGTATTTATTTGATAACATCATACGGTAAATTACTACTTACATAGCTTGATAAGTTTCATTTTTATTTACATTCTTAAACTATATACGAGGTACTAAATAATTTTACATAGTTTCATTTGTATTTTACTTGTTAATTTTGGGGAAGAAGAGTTATTCTTTTACTGTAAATATTCCCGTGTTGATGTGCCCTAATATCGAACAACTGAGAACCAGAACTTGTTTTTGAGCAAGGGGCAGGCACTTCTGCGTCTCATCAGCAGATTTAGCGATACAGGTAAAAGCAGATTTTTAAGATAGCATGAGAAGGAGGAAGATTACTAGTTATGTACTAACACCTACTGGTTACATATCGACACAACTTGTCATCACTCACGCATCGACACAATCAGTCACGACATACACCTTCAGACATCTAATATTCTTAAATCATTAACCGACAGAAACATCTATCTTACCAGTTACATAGCAGCAACACAAGCGTATTCTGTAATTTACCACACGTGTATTCCCACAGTCATGTTTTAGGTAATGTACAGGTGTTATCACAATACCCCCCACCCAATTCAACAATCATACCCCAATTCTTGCCGGACTAGTATCAATAGTCATTAGTCAAATATAGTCAATGTTAACCACTCTTAGTCTGACAAAAACCACGTACGTACTAAGTTATCTGAGAATTTTTGACTATCAACAAAGACATCACATTTTCCAACAGTAAATGTATCCGAACATGTCACAAAAAAGTTGTTTTCAATTACTCTAATCTACTTCCGTAAAATTCCGGTTTACACTTTAATTAAGCAACGACAACAAGATGTTCTCGCTGCATTATCACGCAAGTTGGTTTTTACATTCAAACCCTCAATGTGAAGAGGAATCAAATAGTAATTTACAGTTAGCAGAACTGTCATAAGCTAGGAACTGTCATAAGTCATACCAGAAGAGAACATTTAATAACATGTCTTTTCAGTGTTTTTGTATTTGATAGTGAAAACTCAGTTGATCTTCCAGTGTACCGGTGAGGCCCATTTCGTTTAATTGCACCGTTCTGAAGATGTGTTTTGTTTTTGAATTTCGCGCAAAGCTACACGAGGGCTATCTGCGCTAGCCGCCCCTAATTTAGCAGGGTAAGACTAGAGGGAAGGCAGCTAGTCATCACCACCCACCGCCAACTCTTGGGCTACTCTTTTACCAACGAATAGTGGGATTGACCGTCACATTATAACGCCCCACGGCTGAAAGGGCGAGCATGTTTGATGGACCGTGGATTCGAACCCGCGACCCTCAGATTACGAGTCGAGCTCCCTAACCACCTGGCCATGCCGGACCTTCAGTACAGTTATAAATAAAAAAAACAACAACAATAAACACATATGCAAACAAAAATATGATTACATATACTGGTTCGCCCGTATAAACAGTCTTTTACTACTACATATAGTCTAACTTGGCTTTGCTGTGCTTGGAGATGACATTTTTATAAGGCTGTCTTCTACTTTAACTGCATGGAAGGCATTCGTCTCGAAGAAGTAACGATTCTAAACTAGGCTTAATTCCAAAGGGTTTATTTTATTTATACTCGTTTTCAAGTTTCTGTTGTTTTATAACGGTGTTTGTTCCTCGTTAGACTTGTTGCTCTTAAAAAATCTTTACAAAATTCAAAGAAACCTTACCTCTCCGTCTCTCGATAAATTAGTAGTAGTTTTTATCTCTGGTTGAAGCTTTGCTATTTCACTATATTGAACTTGTTATTTTGTAGTGATAAAGAGAAAAATCGCGTTTTGCTCAAATCTGTCAACTTCTTAAAAATTATATAAACGAACAAGCATGTATAGGACGGCCCCCCAGTGGCACAGCGGTATGTCTGCGGACTTACAACGCTAGAATCCGGGTTTCGATACCCGTAGTGGGCAGATCTCAGATAGCCCATTGTGTAGCTTTGAGCTTAATTACAAACAAACAATGTATAGGACGCTATTAAATTATTACTTTCGGAGATAAAAGTAATTCGAATTTAGGCCTAATGACGGTAGGTTAAACTAAAGTTAATGGTCTATTACCTTTAACTAGATGAGATAGAGTATGCTTAGTAATACAAATTTTTAATTTTAAATGTATTAAACAGGTTAATTAGTTGAAATCAAATTATCAAAGTGTTTGCTTTTAGTAATGGACGGACGTAGCCTAGTGGTTATGGTACTCGAACATGACCTAAGTTTCATTCTGTTAGAAGTAAATTGCGAGAAACAACAGAAACTAAAAAGGTGGAGTGGGCTCTGAATCTGAAAGTTCGTGATTCGAAGTCCGTTTGGGGGCCGGTGGTACGCTATATGGGTAACAGTCAAAAACATTCGGTCAGACAAGAGTAGCCCAAGAGTTGACATTGGCTAGCTATGCGCAAATAGCCACTTGTGCAGCTTTGTGCGAAAATTCTGAAGCAAACAAATGCTTTTAGTATTTTATCAATTCCAAAAATGTCCTTCTTTTGGTTCCCAAAAGTCGTGAATTGGGACGCAGAACAATAAACAGTAAAAACTAAACGAAGACTTTTGAAACGTCGTTCTCTACACTTTAGTTACCTAAGTAGATTGTATAGTCACCCAGATATTTCTACAAGTGTTTCTCTAATAGGCAGTAGCTGTCCATTTCACAGTCAACTCAGTATGAATACTCTGCCTAAGCTATCTGTCAAAGAATAGAAAATAAATATATTTATATTTTAGAATTATTTATATAATAATGATCCTAAAATGTTTTGGAACAAACAAAACAAGAACCCGAAAATGTAAAAGGACTACCAGACTTTATCGAAATACATTAGGACAGTAACCCTTCTCCTCCAAATGATCCCAAATCCCATTAACTTGTCTAAGAGAGCTACGAAAATTTTCGCTAACTTCTCTAGTTTAATAAATCTTTAAATTCTGTTATCTAAATATGAAGCACCTAATTCATACCTTTACCAAGTAAACTCGATCAGTTCATACCTTTACCAAGTAAACTCGATCAATTCATACCTTTACCAAGTAAACTCGATCAATTCATACCTTTACCAAGTAAACTCGATCAATTTATACCTTTACCAAGTAAACTCGATCAATT